TATTCTCTCACTCTCACTCTCTTACTCTCACCCTCACTCTCTTTTTCATTAATATCTTATTCATATTTGCTTATTTGTTTATTTTTATATTTATTTATTATTTTTTAATTTTATTAATAAATATTTATTAACTATAAAAATAATAAATATAATTTATTTAAACAAAGATAAAAATACAATTTATATAAATATTTATAAAAAAATATAAAAATACAAATTATAAAATAAAAAAAGCTTGATTTAACTAACTAAAAAAAACTTTATAAAATTGTATATAAAAAAATTTAAATTTGATAATAATGAGGATTAGAAGCCCAATAATCATATGTCTTTTCAAAATCAAATAAATTTAAAGAAGGTCTATTTAAAGAAATTATAAGAAGATCATTAAGAATTTCTAAAGACATATGGTTTTGTAATTTTGTTTTAATATTATTTTGATATAAAAATACTCTTTTAATATAAGCATTAGAAAGAGGTAAAGTTAATAATAATAATGCTAAAATAGAAATATTTGGATAAATAATTTCAAAATTCTTAATTTTAAAAATATTATCTCAAGCATCATATAATTTAAAATTTTGAAAATTATAAAGTAAAGAACAAAATATAAACCATTCATTTAAAAGCTCAACACCATTAATAATAGGAGAAATTTTAGTATCTATTAATAAATATTAAAATATTAAATAATTTAAAATAAGAAATATATTATAATTTTAAATAAAATTTAATTATATATTATATTAAAAAATAAATAATAAATTTAAATTTTACCTTTAATAAATTTTGAAACTCTATAAAATTCAATTAATTTTTAAATAGATTCTTGACCATAATATCTAAGCATACTTTTATCAATTGGTAATTCTTTTGGATCAAATATATGGAATGAATCAATAAGATTATTATCTGGAAATCTTTCTTTTAGGCTTTCAATAATAGCTATAGCAAAATCTTGAACAAATAATGGTACTTCAGATTCATTCACTCCCAAAACA